GGGTGGGGGGCTGAGAATCTTGGTTGACGCTTTCTCCTTCTAATTTATTTTTGTTCCACGAGTTGATTAGCATCTAAATAAGTTCTTGTGCAAAAGATTGTCTTGTGATTTTAGTTTCAAAATAAACTCCAAAAACAAATGCATAAATTTTCTTCCTTATCGACTAAAATAGACTAAATTTGTAGCTTGCAATGAATAAAAAAAAGTTATTTTGTAACATTAGACAGTCCTTTGAAATGAAAGAAATATTGAGGTTTAGCATGTCGCATGCTATTACCATGAAATATAATTAAGAATTGACATTCTTAATTCTTAAATTTGTATTTCTAATGACAATAATCGAAGTTGTTGCATGCGAAAAATTTCTTATATTTTATGTTTAAGACAAATTTAATGACTTTAACAATTAGAATTTTTCTTTGACTATGGTCTTTTCTATGCAATAAATTCCAGCTAATTGGCAGCGGCCGTAGTTGGCAACTTGCATTTTTTTGGGGATCAATTTGACCATTTAACAAACTTTCCAGAAATTCAACTCTAATGTTGAACCACTGGTCTAAGTTCACTTTGGCGGCTATGATTTAGTCACAGAGCTGATTTTTTTTTTCTTTCTTTCAGACCGTATATTCATTTAACTCCATGTATTTTCTCTAAATATTTTTTTGTCCATTTTACTCCGAAGAATTAACTGAAATAGCCGCTCCTTCAAAATAAAAACAAAAAATAGGAGGCAAATGTATAATACATGTATAATTCATATATAAATGTGTATATAATCTGTATAAACTGACTAAAAAAAACAGTAAATCCGGCCGGCTATTTGTGTAAAGATACTTTTTTACTAAAGTCAATCGTTTAATTATTTCGAAAAACTCCGCCTGTATACCGTCCTAAGACCCTATAAAATAGGAGGATCGCGGTAAATTGACAAATAGTGTAAATTTATTTTCCGACTCCAACTAACTTGGAATTAAGACCTAATTATTGTTGTTGTTGCTGATATTGTATAATATTTTTGAAACAAACCAAAACCTATCCCGGAAACAAAAAGAACCCATTGGCAGTGTTCAGGACAAATTACAACAACAACAATAAGTAGAGCATGAGAAGGGTATTGTGTGCGCAGACTTTACCCCTATCTTGAGAAGGTAGAATGGCTATTTCTGCAGTGCCGGCTCCAATGTTATATGTAGTAAGGCATTTGCCTTAGGCCCCCAAATTTAGGGGCCCCATTTTTTAAAGGGAGACTTTCATTAATAGCACCCTACTAAAAACATAATACAAAAGATTAGCATTAATTAATAATTAACGATATGGCAGTAAAATATTTATACATATAGAAGATTTCATTCAATTCTACTCAGCGAAAATCAAGATGTTTAAAAAGCTGTTTAATATCTTTCCCTATTTTTTCTCTTGAAACCAATCTATTCCATAACATAAATACAATTAAAAATCCTTGGTATATTCTGTTTATCTAATTGTGTTTAGGTATAAAACTTTTATACACTTTTGTCTTCGAAATATCCATCAGTATAATTTCAGTATGATTCGATTCACTCCCCATAGGACCATAGATAACTTTCATGAGTACCAGTGTACCAAAATATAATTTTCGTATAATTTATTATATTCACAATATAATTTCAGTATAATTTATTATATTTATTGTATACTTTTAGTATAATTTATTATATTCACAATATAATTTTTATATTTTTTTGACATTTACAGTATAATTTTAATATAATATTTATACACACTGTATCATTTCAAATATGATTCACTTAAATAAACTCCCCAAAGATTTCAATTGTATAATTTCAGTATAATTTATTATATTTATTGTATACTTTTAGTATAATTTATTATATTCACAATATAATTTTTATATTTTTTTGACATTTACAGTATAATTTTAATATAATATTTATACACACTGTATCATTTCAAATATGATTCACTTAAATAAACTCCCCAAAGATTTCAATTGTATAATTTCAGTATAATTTTATTATGTTTACAATATAATATTAATATAATATATTATATCCACATTAATTATTCTAATTATATTTTTTGAAACATTCTAAAATTTTACTCATTAATAAGGATAAAAATAGATTCCGTGATTGGTGCCTTGTGTTTACACATTAATGTTATGCATAATATTTAATCTATGCTAGTATTGCAAGAAAAGTTGCTATTTATGGAATAAACAAAAAATTGATGTTCTTTTTATAAATATTTTTCAAAAAGGTATTAAGCTTGTAAGAATCTATTTTTAAAAATAATAGGTTCATAGGTATTTAAAAAATAATATTAGTACTTTCAATACAAAAGTAGAGTTTTTAATATATAAAAAAACTTTTTAGATATATAAATAAAGTAATAATTT